GCCAGGATTGTGACCAGGGGCCAGGATTGTGACCAGGGGCCAGGACTGTGACCAGGAGCCAGGATTGTGACCAGGGGCCAGGATTGTGACCACGGTTTCCTTTGTGGGGCTCTTCAGCTGCAAATGAGCCTTGCAAATTCGGGACAAAATGCTCCAGCAGCGCTGCTGAGGCAGCAGCCTGGGCAGGAGCAGGTAATGAAGCACAGCAAAAAGCCAAATCAGGACTCTTTTCAGCCAGCTCTGAGCTTCCCACCCCCAATCCAAAGGAAAAGATGCAGGTGTTTGGATGCTGCTCCCAAAGCTGTGCCAGGAGCTTTGCTGGGCACCAGGACAAAGCAGGAGAACCAACTTTAATGATGTTTTTGTAGGCAAACCACGTCTGATCAAACAAGGAGACGAGAAGGGGAACTGTGTTATTAAAAACTCGCTACAGTTATTACTCAGAATTCCTTCTATTTCCCACAAGGAGCGGGGTTTTGGATTATAAATACAATTTCTGTCTGCAATATTAAAGGATATAATCATATATCCTGGGAATTAATGCCATCTTCTACCGTTCTGTCTGAAAACCTTGGCAAATCTGTCATTAATTGCACTTGTGCAGGCTGTGGACTGAACATTGCTCATTGTTATGTGAGAGCCTCTCTTCCCACAGGTCCTTGCTGCTCACACAGGGATTTCTCCTCCCTGGGCAGTTTTTATTGCTGTCAAGGACCCTGCTCCTCCAGCCCAGGGCTGGGGAGAGGACCTGCACATCCCATGGGCATGGAAACAGAAAAATGGCATTGAAGTGCCTGGTTTGGGGTGAAAGCTGCCCTTGGAAGATTCATCTTTTGTCCAGAAAGAGAAAATTTCTGTGCCAGGTGGGGATTTTCAGACTTTGCACATGGATGTTCCCCTCTAAACCCACCGATGGCTGCCCCTCGGTTTCCTGCCTCTCCTGCAGAAAATTCCAAAGGAATTCTTCACTCTTCACTGTGCACGGGGTGCCCAGAGCAGCTGTGGCTGCCCCTGGATCCCTGGGAGTGCCCCTGGACCCCTGGGAGTGTCCCTGGATCCCTGGGAGTGTCCCTGGATCCCTGGGAGTGCCCCTGGATCCCTGGGAGTGTCCCTGGACCCCTGGCAGTGTCCCTGGACCCCTGGCAGTGTCCCTGGATCCCTGGCAGTGTCCCAGGCCAGGCTGGACAGGGTTTGGAGCAGCCTGGGATGGTGGGAGGTGTCCCAGCCCATGGCAGGGGCTTGGAATGGGATCAGCTTTAGGATCCCTCCCAACACAACCCAGTGAGATGTTTCTGTGACAATTCCAAGATGCTTTTATCAACTTCTCCCCCGGATTTTGTCCAGCTCTCCCCACCCTGAGCTGTGGGAAGTTACAGACACAGCTCCTGGGCAGGCAGTGATTAGGCAGAATTACCCTCTGTGCCTCCAGGAGCAATAACTTGAGCTGAGAGCAGCCCGGGACTGCCTCTGTGCTCAGCTTTCATGGTTATTTTGTGAAGAGGTGATCCCTGGAGCCCGGGAATGCTGGGTTTGCATTTACATTCATCTCAGTAACAACCGTGCACTTCCCACCCCCACAGGCCTTGGTTCACACACTGCACACACACTCCTGATTCCAGGGCTGACTCCCACTGCTAATTGATGGAACAACCCATCCAGATTTCTAAACAAGAGGAGCCCAAGAGCATCTGAAAATAAATAAAAAAAAAGGGCTCCTCTCTATTGTGTTAGCAGAGAATCCAGCGGGGTGGAAATTCAGCCTGAGCACGGCTGCAAAAACCTGCAGGGTAAAGGAGGTGCTGCTGTGAGCCCCCTCTGAGAGCTGGACCTCAAAGGTGGCCTGAGCTGGCCAAGGACCACCCTGAGCTGGCCAAGGATCACCCTGAGCTGGCCAAGGATCACCTGAGCTGGCCAAGGACCACCCTGAGCTGGCCAAGGACCATCCTGAGCTGGCCAAGGATCACCCTGAGCTGGCCAAGGA